TTCAATAGTTATTTTCATCTATTACTGACTGAATTATCAGTCCAGGGAGCTCCTGTCTCCCTTGCTTGCTGGGTTGGAATCCCACTTTATCTAATTTTAATAGTAAGTAAAAACACTATTAAACACTGAAGTATCAGTCCAGGGAGCTGCTTTCTCCCTTGCTTGCTGGGTTGGAATCCCAGTTTATCTAATTTTAATAGTAAGTAATAACTATTAAAGACTGAAGTATCAGTCCAGGGAGCTGCTGTCTCCCTTGCTTGCTGGGTTGGAATCCCAGTTTATCTAATTCTAATAGTAAGTAATAACACTATTAAAGACTGAAGTAGCAGTCCAGGGAGCTCCTGTATCCCTTGCTTGCTGGGTTGGAATCCCAGTTTATCTAGTTTCAATAGTAAGTTTCATCTATTATTGACTGAATTATCAGTCCAGGAAGCTACTGTCTCCCTTGCTTGCTGGGTTGGAATCCCAGTTTATCTAGTTTTAATAGTAAGTTTCATCTATTATTGACTGAAGTATCAGTCCGGGAGCTCCTGTCTCCCTTGCTTGCTGGGTTGGAATCCCAGTTTATCTAATTTTAATAGTAAGTAATAACACTATTAAAGACTGAAGTATCAGTCCAGGGAGCTGCTGTCTCCCTTGCTTGCTGGGTTGGAATCCCAGTTTATCTAGTTTCAATAGTAATTTTCATCTATTATTGACTGAATTATCAGTCCAGGAAGCTGCTGTCTCCCTTGCTTGCTGGGTTGGAATCCCAGTTTATCTAGTTTTAATAGTAAGTTTCATCTATTATTGACTGAAGTATCAGTCCGGGAGCTCCTGTCTCCCTTGCTTGCTGGGTTGGAATCCCAGTTTATCTAGTTTTAATAGTAACCTCTATCTATTATTGACTGAAGTATCAGTCCAGGGAGCTCCTGTCTCCCTTGCTTGCTGGGTTGGAATCCCAGTTCATCTAGTTTCAATAGTACGTTTTATCTATTATTGACTGAAGTATCAGTCCAGGAAGCTGGTGTCTCCCTTGCTTGCTGGGTTGGAATCCCAGTTTATTTAATTTTCATAGTAAGTAATAACACTATTAAAGACTGAAGTATCAGTCCAGGGAGCTCCTTTCTTCACTGCTTGCTGGGTTGGTTTCCCAGTTTATCTAATTTTAATAGTAAGTAATAACTATTAAAGACTGAAGTATTAGTCCAGGGAGCTCCTGTCGTCCTTGCTTGCTGGGTTGAATCCCAGTTTATCTAATTTTAATAGCAAGGAATAACTATTAAAGACTGAAGTTTCAGTCCAGGTAGCTCCTGTCTCCCTTGCTTGCTGGGTTGGAATCCCAGTTTATCTAATTTTAATAGCAAGGAATAACTATTAAAGACTGAAGTTTCAGTCCAGGTAGCTCCTGTCTCCTTTGCTTGCTGGGTTGCAATCCCAGTTTATCTAATTTTAATAGTAAGTAATAACTATTAAAGACTGAAGTGTCAGTCCAGGGAGCTGCTGTCTCCCTTGCTTGCTGGGTTGGAATCCCAGTTTATCTAATTTTAATAGTAAGTAATAACTATTAAAGACTGAAGTATCAGTCCAGGGAGCTCCTGTCTCCCTTGCTTGCTGGGTTGGAATCCCAGTTTATCTAATTTTAATAGTAAGTAATAACTATTAAAGACTGAAGTGTCAGTCCAGGGAGCTGCTGTCTCCCTTGCTTGCTGGGTTGGAATCCCAGTTTATCAGTTTATCTAAGTTTTTAATGAGTATCAGGTTGGAATAACTAATTTTAATAAAGACTGAAGTATCAGTCCAGGGAGCTCCTGTCTCCCTTGCTTGAATCCCAGTTTATGGGTTGGAATCCCAGTTTATCTAATTTTAGTAGTAAGTAATAACCAGTAAAGACTGAAGTATCAGTCCAGGGAGCTCCTGTCTCCCTTGCTTGCTGGGTTGGAATCCCAGTTTATCTAGTTTAAATAGTAAGTAATAACACTATTAAAGACTGAAGTATCAGTCCAAGGAACGCCTGTATCCCTTGCTTGCTGGGTTGGAATCCCAGTTTATCTAATTTTAATACTAGGTAAGAACACTCTTAAAGACTGAAGTATCAGTCCAGGGATCTCCTGTCTATAGTAAGTTTCATCTATTATTGACTGAAGTATCAGTCCAGGGAGCTCCTGTCTCCCTTGCTTGCTGGGTTCGAATCCCAGTTTATCTAGTTTTAATAGTTGAGTTTCATCTATTATTGACTGAAGTATCAGTTTAGGGAGCTCCTGTCTCTCTTGCTTGATGGGTTGGAATCCCAGTTTATCTAATTTTAATAGTAAGTAATAACACTATTAAAGACTGAAGTATCAGTCCAGGGAGCTCCTTTCTCCCTTGTTTGCTGGATTGGAATCCCAGTTTATCTAATTTTAATAGTAAGTAATAACTAGTAAAGACTGAAGTATCAGTCCAGGGAGCTCCTGTCTCCCTTGCTTGCTGGGTTGGAATCCCAGTTTATCTACACAGTTTTAATAGTAAGTTGTAACTATCATAGACCGAAGTTTCAGTCCAGGGAGCTCCTGTCTCCCTTGCTTGCTGGGTTGGAATCCCAGTTTATCTAGTTTTAATAGTAAGTAATAACACTATTAAAGACTGAAGTATCAGTTAAGGGAACTCCTTTCTTCCTTGCTTGCTGGGTTGGAATCCCAGCTTATCTAATTTTCATAGTAAGTAATAACACTATTAAAGACTGAAGTATCAGTCGAGGGAGCTCCTGTCTTCCTTGCTTGCTGGGTTGGAATCCCAGTTTATGTAATTTTGATAGTAAGTAATAACACTATTAAAGACTGAAGTATCAGTCCAAGGAACGCCTGTATCCCTTGCTTGCTGGGTTGGAATCCCAGTTTATCAACACAGTTTTAATAGTAAGTTGTAACTATCATAGACCGAAGTTTCAGTCCAGGGAGCTGCTGTCTCCCTTGCTTGCTGGGTTGGAATCCCAGTTTATCTACACAGTTTTAATAGTAAGTTGTAACTATCATAGACCGAAGTTTCAGTCCAGGGAGGTCCTGTCTCCCTTGCTTGCTGGGTTGGAATCCCAGTTTATCTAATTTTAATAGTAAGTAATAACACTATTAAAGACTGAAGTTTCAGTCCAGGGAGCTGCTGTCTCCCTTGCTTGCTGGGTTGGAATCCCAGTTTATCTACACAGTTTTAATAGTAAGTTGTAACTATCATAGACCGAAGTTTCAGTCGACAGAGGTCCTGTCTCCCTCGCTTGCTGGGTCGGAAATGCCAGGTTATCTAGTGTTTTTAAAATTCGTAAGTTAAAAATAGTAAGTGCCATTTATCATAGACTAAGGTATTAGTCCAGGGAGGAGTATTACTTGTTGTGTGTTTTCATAGTGTTATCTGGCATAACACGCAAGAGGTTATTAACTTTTTATAAATATTATGTATTATGTCATAGTTTAGGGAGCACCTGTCTCCCATTTTCACTGAGTTGGAATGCCAGTTGACGTTATAAATGTAAATTGCCTTTTATAAATATCAGAATTTTTATGTATTCTAATACTTCAAGGAAGATCCTTAGGAGCCATAATTTGTTAAGTCACTAAATAAAGATCGGGATTGGGGTTGTTACAAGCCCCAAGCTCTTACCGTTTTGAAAATATCCTGGTTTAGTTGGGTCAGCACTGAACTTCTGTTAGATTGTTATTAGATTGTTGCCTACATGAGTGAAGAAGAGAAAAAAAATTAGTAAAAGCATAACAAAATGATGAAGTCAGATATGACTGTGAAAGGGCCCCCCGGTTCAGATATGACTTGTTGAAATACTTTTTATCTGGCAGTCACAATTTTATTATGATAGGTTTTTGAAATCAGTGATTACCTATCACAAGTTAGGTTCCCTAGCCTTAGCTAGTACATAATATCCCTAACCATGATTGCGTATATTTATCTAATTTAATGCAAGGAAAATTACTGGTACATAATTAAGATCTTTCAAATCATTTTGTTTTGGGAGCCCGCACGTTTTAAACAACTTTAATATACCTGCACTTCTCTTAGATTGAGTTATCTAAAAAGAGTAATCAAAACTTATGTGCAGAGCAAAACAAAGTACCCAATAAAAAAGGAAGCTAACTCTCTCTCTCATGCGATTCACCCGTAGCCCTAGTATTTAAACCGTGGCTGCTTATTTGTGTTATTTACTACCCGAAAGTGACTGAAATCCCAGGGGTGTGCCCCCGGTTCTCCAAGTCCTAGTTGGCTTATATAAGGGGGATTACTCCCCAGGAGAAAATCCATGTATCTTAAAAATTCTGTCCACGGGCCTGGGTGTCTTTAAATGCTTCATTTGGTCGAGACACTTTGAAAAGGAAAGAATTGGTTTGAAGGGTTGATATTTAACCAAAACAGTTCAAAGGCAGTTAAATAAAAATTTGTACGACTCTTGTCAGTAAATGAAAAAGGGAATAATTTTAATTTTAGTAAGTGGATGCAGGCTAAGAAGACAGCTCGTCACAATATTATTTCTACTTTCTATTCTCTAACACCCATGTCCCATTTTAGTCTATTTGCTCATTAGGATAATGCTCGTAAAACTAATTAAAGTTTGTATTCAATTGTTCAGAAAGCTGCTGCGTCCCAATTCTTTGCTGAGTATGAATAACAGTTGAGTTGGTGTATATTTTCTTATATAATCAGACTTTGCATGTTATAGTTCAGGGAGAATGTGTATCCCATTTCTTTGCTGGGTTCGAATCCCAGTTGGCCCCTAAGTATATATTATTGTTTAATCAAAGTTTTTATGTAAAAGTTAGAATATATCATAGGGCATCAAACATAATGCCCTGGCATCCTAATTGTTGCTCTCACAGGTTTAAAACTGGAGTATTCCTTGGCATGTTTGAGAGAGGCAGCATTATGTCTTATGCCATTTATCAGGCAGTTTGAATTTTACAGTGTAGTTTGTTTTGATCATGAATTCTGGTATCTTCTACACTGTGTTGCTAGACTGCTTAATGTATATAAATAGAATAAAATTATTTTAATATTGTATTTACCTTTCTTGTTTCTTGTTGGTCAAATCTTTTAAATTGTGCCTCCGATCTGATGGCATCTCTCTAGGTGATAAAGAAATGAACTTAATTAACTTACGGTCTCATACTTTCTGGAAAATAAAAATGAAGCCCTTGTAATTTCGAAAAGCCTCAAGTTCCCCTAGGATGACCGAACAGATACAAATTTTATAGGCCCGCTTAGAATGCACTTCTAAGAGATTTAAAAGTACTGTAGTCTACAAGGTTCTCATTAAGTGCCGGCAGCCGGCTAAAAACTAGCCTCCCCGCAGACGTCCTTTGGGGTTCGTTTGTCACGCATTCATTTCTGGGGGAGAAATGAATGCGTGACAAACGAACCCGAAAGGACGTCTGCGGGGAGGCTAGCTAAAAACTGGCTACTTCGAGTTTTGAGCCGCCTTCTTTGGGAACTACAGGAAGGTGCGAAAGATAAAGCCTGAATACATCCTAGCCATCTACTCGATAAGGAGAATTCTTTCATAATTTCAACGCAATTAGGAGGAAATCGTCGTTGGGAGCCCCTTGTAAATATGTATACCTTTTTGTCTGTCCTGACCTTCTAATTCTTGGGTATTTTGGTTTTTATGTTGCAGAGTCCTTTCTTGAAATTTTTGTAGGTACTTTTAAGCTTAAATTAGGTTTGCACTGCTACACTGATGACTGACTCTGTGAGCGATGGAAGATCCAACCCAACAGCTCCAAGCCGCCATATTGGCCGGGACACAAGTAGACCCTGGGACGAGGACTTCCTTCGTGGTCTATACCACAGGTTACCCACACAATCTGCTAGTTGGTAAATGAGTTTGCTTCGAATTCATCTTTACAGTAAGCTACAGTAGCAATATATCGCCAACTATGTATATAGATAAATGTTAAATAAACAGTGTACTACCTTACCTACCTTACCTAATATTGTCGTCTTTTTGCCTTCAAAAAGGTATTTTCAGCGATTTTGACTGATTTTGACTCGCCTGGATGACTGCGTAAAAAGTAAAGAGGAAAAGAGTTACCAAATGAGCCATTTTGCAAAGTCTGTAGTCTGAGAACCTGAGTAAGTCTTGAGTAGTCAGTTCACAAAGTCACTAACAAAAGATCGGGATCGGAGTTGTTACAAGTACTTACCGTTTTCAAAATCGTCCGATTTAGTTGGGTCCGCACTTAGCAATTAATGACTGTACTTCTGTTATATTGTTCGCCTACGTGAGTTAACAAGACAAAAACAATAGTTAAAGCATAACAAAGAACTCTTTAAAGAAGAAGTTGGATACGATTTGTTTGAAATACTCTTTATCTGGCAGTCAAAATTTTATCGTAATAGGTTTTCGAAATCAGTGATTACCTAACACAAGCCGTTTTTCCTTAGCTAGTACATAATTCCTAACCCTTTATTGATTATCTAACTCAAAGCGAGGAAATTTGTTTTTGTCTTATGTGTTGGACTGAGAAAGATATATAGTCGTAAATTCATTGAAGTAAGTTGTAAGAATTGCAAGGAAAGAGAAAGATGGTGGTAAGTCTGGTAAGTTAAGGGCCGGAGCCGGAACTGTTGCTACAGCAGGCACTTGCGTTTTAGAATCATTTCGTAATCGGTCCGCACGTTGTTTCCATTTAGCCCTAGTATGTAAACCGTGACCGTTTTTTGCATTATTTACTACTTGAAGAAAATCTCTGGGGGGGGGGGAATGCTCCTGGGGTTTCTTGGTGGGGGTTCGAGCCGCCCTGTTCTTTAACTCCTGGCCTTTTTTCAGACGAAAAAAATGACATTCTCCACGCCTTTTTTTAGTCCTGGTCTCTAGGCAGAAATTATGTCAAAGAATAAGCAAATATTTCTTTTTCTTTCTTATTCATTAATTTGGAATTAAAACGACAAATACGTTCTTATACCGCGTTTTTTCCCTCGAAAACCATACCCAATTCCATACCAAAACGAGCAAAGTGTATACCGGTTTTTAGACCGAAAAAGCTCAAAAACCATATCCTTTGGGGTGGCACATACCTATGTGGCTTACAGTGTATTTAAGGGAATATTCCCCGGGAGAGAATCCAAGTATCTTAAAAATTCTGTCCGCGGGCCTGAGTTTCCTCTAAATGTTTCATTTGTCCGAGACATGCCTTTTAAAAGGAAAGAATTGATTTGAAGGGATGATACTGAACCAAACAGTACAAAGGTAAATACAAATTTGGACGACTCTCCAACGAAAAGGAAATGATTTTCATTTTAACAAATGGTTGCAGACTAAGACGAGAACTTGTCACGATATAATTTCTGCTCTTTATTCTCTAACACCCATGTCCCATTTTGCTCTTTTGTGTTTAACTTTCGAAAAAACATGGAAGTAAATACATAGGTAATAACAACTTTATATAAAGCAGTCTATTTGCTCATAGGGATGATGCTAGTAAAACTAATTAGTATATTGCCAAATGTAAAATCACTCAGGAGCAAATATTGTCCGGAGAAAATCAATCATACTTCAACTCGTTACCGGGTCTAACATAACTAAGTTATAGTGACATCAAGGTATCCTACAAAAAAACTGACAAGTTTTCCATCACCATATTAAATCTTCTGTCAGTTTACGATTGTCCTGGTTAAGGTGACTTTTTACTTGGATAGTTACCTCTACAAATCTCTTGCTGTTTTTCTACCATAAGCTGATAACTCTCTTCGTTACGTTCCTCATCACTCAACCATGCACTAAATGTTACTTCTCAAAACTGAGGGAAAAGGAAAAAAAGGAAAAACATACAACTGTCGATTAAAATAAAACACTCTGAAAGGTTTCAGTTGAGAAAGTTTCAGTTGAGAAAGAAGTTCACAATCTAAATAGTGCGTGCACTTGGCAGCTCTTTGACAATTCGTTTAGACAAGAGAAAGGCAAGAGATATAGCAAATGCAATAGCTGTAGCACTTACACTTTCAAATCCGTGCCATATTGATTCGCGAGTTGAATGTCTTCACTGTGTTGTTGATACAGTTCTAATGTTATACCATGCACCTTGCAATAGAGCGAACAGTTTCAGCAGCAATAACTTTCATCAGGTATCGTTAAACACAAGCGATCCATGATCGTTCAGGAGAGACTTGCTCGAAACTACGATGCCGTTAGGAAATTTCAAAAATCATTTTGGGGTTATTTGCGCATGGGTGAATATAGATGACTCATTATTCTATTTTCGTTCTCGTAAAAAAACGATGAGAATCTAATGTATTGAAAACACCTGTGAAGTATAATGATTTACATATTTGTTCCTTTTTTTACCGTAACAGATTGCGATCAGAACTACATGCAAATGATACTCCTTAAAAAACTTCCCGAGTATTGGCGTTTTCAAATCATTCCAAATTTTCGTAATAGTTCCAGGAGTTGTTCTGAAGTTGTGCTATATTCATTTTTTAAAAAACTGTTGCGGAATTCTTTTAACCCCGCTCCGCTGGTTCAAACAAATCAAGAGGACTGTATCTTTCGATGTAACAACACGATTTAATGCAATCCAAACATCGACTGCGATGTACAATTCTCACATATTCAACGGTCGTTCAAACAAATCAAGAGGACTATCTTTCGATGTAACAACACGATTTAATGCAATCCAAAAATCGACTGCGATGTACAATTCTCACATATTCAACGGTCGTAACACAACGATCAACGATCAACTAATTAAAAACATTCCAAGTATACAGTGGTTTTTCTACTATCCTTGCGTAAGGCAGTATTTTTACATTAATCACATTTACAGTAAAAGTTCCCATCGTAATGTATCTAAATTGTCTATTACAAAATCGCGCGTTCTTTCACCTTATTTAGCCTAAGAAAATGCTTGCAGTTACATCATTTTATATCGTAAATATACTCGGACTTTGTCTACATTACTGCGAAATCTAATGTCACGAAATCTAACTTCTTCGCGCTACAAATGTCCATTTCTAATTAATATTTGATCACATTATAATCAAGTTAAGCATCACCTATTTCTTTCCCGACAAAAAGGTGCCGATCGTCTCTGCGCACTCATATTCCTACCGTCGTGTTGCCAAAAGTTAATTCAGCCTTTCTTTTAAGTCTCGTTCGTGGTTCGTTTCACAGTTCATCCTTTCGCTCGCCTTCACTAAAGAAATGCTGGCCACATTTTCTGCAGTATCGGTCTTGTATAATTTTCACGCCGTCTTCAAAGTAAATCTCAACGGGCTGTTCTGCGTCCATTATGTCATGTTGTCCATCTGGGCAGGGTACAATCTTTTCCACTCGGTACGAATCGGCGGTGAAAGTAACTTTAGAATGAACAACTTCTTGTTTAAATTCTTTGTAGGTCTTGCGAACTCTCTTGGGGCCTACGGCTTTCAGCAATTTTTTCACCGGTTTCGCTACCTTCCTGAGAACATTTTTCTCAAACCGACGAAGGACTTTGCGTAGCCGCAATCCGGAAGTCTTGTCTGGTGAAGTTAGAAGAATTGTGAAGAATACAAGACTGACAAGAGCTAAGGCAGCAAAAGTCGTGGCCCTCATTGTGACTGGCGCTTGCAACACACTTTTGGACTTTTCAACTACTGTAAAAGCCTTTTATGTTCTATGAAAATTCGAAAGGTAACAGGACGCTTTTAATAACATTAAATGACGAGCATTAAAGGGAAAATTCCCAGTTCATGACCTGTCACGCGTTAATTTTATGCTTCTTGGTTTTCAAAGAAAACCAGGCACTGGCAGTTCCACGAGCGACTGTTTTATCTTTTGTTTTGCTTTTTTTGTTTTTGCGATGCATATACTGTGCATTCACCAGAGAGTGAGAGCTGAATAAAGAAACAGACCGAACCGAGGATTCTTTTAGGCGATTAGAGAACTCAAGACAACGATACCATGATGCCCTTTTTCTTCTCTACGACTGATCAGAAGCCTGATTATGGCTCCTGATTATATGATTAAAAAATTCCGTGATTCAAATTTGGCCTTGTCTGAAGGAGCTAACATCATTAACATTATTTAGTGGAGCGCCTCTAGATCTATTTATTTTAAAACCCTTTTCAATGGACTGCCGAGTGAATGGATTTCAACCAAGCAGATGAGGCTTTTTGTTGAAAGCCCCGCACTGAGTGTTTTTATACTAAGACATCATAGATATTTTTGGTGATGTACGATGTCTTTGCTATGACGTCACGGTACCTTATAAGCCCGGAAGCAGGAGCCCAGCCAAATCGAAAGCTTGCATACTTATTTCCACCGATGGCAACTAACCTATCGTGACTTGGAAATTGAAAGAGAGCTATCACACAGATCGAGAAATGCTGCGATCACCAGTCATAAAGTTAACTTTGGCTTTGTTTTCATTCATGCTAGCGCTGATCACGACAAACGCCTGTCCTAATCACGAACATGATTTCCGCGAGGAAGGTTTCAGCGTGGTCACGATATCAGTGCACAGTTCTGTTAGATGGATCACTTCAGATAGGAGTAAATTTCTAGCCATAACAGTTTCTTCAAGCAGAGATCAAGGAGCAGTTGAAATATCCAAGCAATTACTGATCAAGAGTTCTGTGACAGTGTGCTCAAAATGTCGAATGGCGACAGGAATGGTGTTTATGACCCTCGACCAACTGAAACAGGTCACAGCTTTGCAACCAGCTCTACAACCGCTTCTTTCAAAGGCCATTGCGGGACAGTAATCCGGCATTTCAGATGTTACGAAAGCAAGGTTTCACAACAATTTAGTGATCCATTCAGTTGTCAGTTTGATGAGGTCCGATGTGAAAACCAAAGCAATTGAGGATGCCAAACGCAGTTCTTTTTTAAATTGAAGTTTGAGGGTCGAGAAACATATCGATAATTAGACCATGCCCTCTCAATATCTCTATATAAACGCTTAAAAAATGCCTGATCATAGGTTAAAAACCAGGATACACATCCAATAAATTAGCTATGTCCCGATAAACACGATAGAAAACCCAGAAATTGCTATACTGAAGGACCTGAAGTGAACTGCTTGGCAGAACTCGGTAACTTCATTGTGCATTGTTCTAATCCTTTCAATGAGATAAATTTGTTCAAACTCAACTTCTCTACGTTTTTGGGATGGTCTGGTTCTTCTGCTTTTTAGTACAAGTGGTTTTGTTTTTTTCAGAATAGCGCGTTACTCCAATGTAACAAAGCGTGCCGGCGACCCTAGTAAGCATGACGTGGTATGAAACCGCTTCAGCCGGAAAATTTAGTTGTTGCAAAAAGTAGAACAGCCTTCTCTAACATATTTATGCAACAACACCTTGCTCGCACAACTGATATCAGTGGAAGCTCGTTATAACGAAGGGCCAAGGGACTGGCACAATTTGTTCGCTACAACTGACGAGGTTTCGTTATATATATTTTACTATTACTGGGGTAGAGAAAGTCGTTCGTTATATAGAGAACTTTGCTTTATAGAGGTTCGTTATATCGAGGTTGCACTGCAGCGAACTACTCGCGCTGAACTCTTGGGGTGAACGTATTTTTCTCTCTGAAGAAACTCTGTACATAGGTAGGGATGCAAGCATTGTGTGGGGGTGTGTTCGAGCAACTCGCTCGCTACACGACGAGGTACCAGGAATCTGATTTACATCTTGCCTTTATTCTTCTTAATCTTCTTACAACTTCTACTTACACAGCAAGTTTGTCGGTTCTACCAACCCCTCTACTTCTACTCTACCCACTAGTTCAAGTATATTAGCGGTTTTAATAGCCAAAGCTGGACATGTTTGGGTTAGCTGACCGGAAGAGTTTCCATTGTATAATCTTATCGCTAACATTGCAACAGGTTTGCTATTGACAGGGAATAGACTAGCCTACGCACAGCCGCAACTGATAAGTACCAAATAACGAAGGTCAGCTCTAACACCACAAACACGACCACCTGTAACATTCCTAATATGGCAATAAGTAAATTCGCGAGCTAAGCATAACTTCAAGTACAAGTAAAAAACAAAAGATCAAAACAGGAAAACAGTACGTGGACAAAAACAAGACTTAATGAAACAAAACCTAAACTCAAAAGTTAAGATAGATCTGTCTTAAAAATAATTTTCAAAATACTTCACAACAATTGGCACGTTATATATTAATTTGTACCATAAAATAAGATATAAGCTGTTAGAATTTATGTTAACTAAAAGGAATTTAGGATGACACTATACTTTTCATCCATTTGCAACACTTCATCCTTTATTTTCAAAGCTCCCTGCAGGCATTAGATGAGGTACATCAAGGAACTGACATATCAGAGGGCTACGATTAGATGCAGCTGAATACTCATGGCTTGAAATCGTCTGCGCGCGGTTAAAAAAGCCCCGTTTACACGTCAAAAGAGACGAAATGGCACCAGTTAGAAGCAAGTACCAATTCCGAAACCGAATTTTTATGGAACGAAACATTTGTCTTTAGTTACCGGCCGAGCTGTTCCAGAAATGTTTTGCTCGTAGATAGATAGATAGATAGCCTTTATTTTAAAACGATGAGTATTAAAGCTACATGAGCTTGTGGGGTCGTTTGCAATTAACTAATTACAAGTAAAAAATAGGGGTATATACAGATAAAACGTTTGAACTAATCAGGCCTATTAAAATTAACATGAATATCTTTGCGACTCGCACCAAGACTCGTTGCTGAAGACTAGCTGGTCAACATAACACTGGAGTACTTCCAGTACTTCTTATATAAAAGCTACAAAACAACGAAAGAGTGATGTCAGGCGCTGAAATTCACGACCCAACTGATCAAACTTAGAGGTCTTATAGCTAAATACAAAAAATCTATGATGGGTCAGTGTCGCTGAAAAATGTTAACGTTCATTTTAAAGTTCATCCTTTCGCTCGCAAATGCTGGCCACATTTTCTGCAGTATCGATCTTGTATAATTTTCACGCCGTCTTCAAAGTAAATCTCAACGGGCTGTTCTGCGTCCATTATGTCATGTTGTCCATCGAGGCAGGGAACAATCTTTTCCACTCGGTACGAATCAGCGGTGAAGGTAACTTTAGAATGAACAACTTCTTACTTAAATTCTTGGTAAGTTTTGCGAATTCTTCTAAGCCCTAGGGCCGTCACTACCTTTCTAAGCACATTTTTATCGAACTCGTGTAGGACTTCCTTCACAGGCTCCGCTACTTCTCGGAGAACATTTTTTATCGAACTCGTGGAGCACCTTTTTAACAGGCTCCGCTGCAGGTCGGAGCACATTTTTATCAGACTTGTGGAGGACGTCATTCACTGGCTCTGACACCTTCCTAAGCACATTTTTATCGAATCGATGCAGTTCATCAAGGATCTTGCCAATGAATCCAGAACTCTTCTCTGGCGAGGACATCAGAACTAGGACGAAAACCAGAGCATGAACAGCGCACAGCAGACCCCTCATCCTGCAATGTGCTTAACCCTTAAGGGTTTTCATTTCGAAACCTTTTTATAGTCTCATAATTGTGTGACTCACTTTGAAGGGAAAATTCCCAGCGATGCATACCGTTTCAGTTTCACCGACTACGTCCTGTTTTTCTGAGAAGACCATTGATCCAGCTGGAACATTTAGTTTTATTACAATAGTGGCATTCTTCTTAGTCTAATTTACAAAGGGAAAGAATAAACTGATCTAGCAAAACGCCTAAAGGGGTTGTTTTGCGGTACCTCGGCCTATCAGACCCAGTCAGGACACCTGCCAGCCAGTACCTCAGCCAAGAATTTTAGTGATCACTGAAATAGTTTTTGTAAGAGATAAATCATCCCTTATCCTAACAATCCTTTTCCACGTTACCCCTTATCCCTAAAATGCTTTGGCTATAGTTTTAACCCTGAACAGGACAGGGCCTCTAAGCTTGATCTGGGATTCGGAAGCCGACTCAATCATCCGAATAAAGGGAAAAACCCCTGATTGAGTATGATAATATGTGCGCTGGACATCAGAAATTTCTAAGAACAGGTCATGCCGTATGAAAAGCAAGCATCTTGGTGGGGGGCCATAGTCACGCGATCATTGAATCTCTTTGTCTTAATTTTCTAAGAAAACCTATTCCTTGCATTTCGATCCCTCCCTTCGGCAGCCAAGACAGCCGAAAGTCCATGACGAGTTCAAGGTCTTCTTACAGTTAACAAAGCAGCTCACAGAAGTTGAGAAAGCCATTATGTCATTATGATCGATCATTTCTGGTCCGTCTTATTTACAATAAACAGCATTTTACAAAGGAAAAGTGAATTAAGTCTAAAGGTAACCTGAGATCAGGCTCTATTTTCGTTTCGCTTTGTAAATTTCCGGCGGGCACGGCGAAACGAACCGCTCAAATTGGGCCTGATCTCAGGTTAGTATAAAGGATTTATCAGAGTTCAACAGGAAGTCGGAAGAGTAACGGGAAGACCCGTATGTATGACGTAGTTTGCATCAATTCCAAGAATTCAGTAGTTTGGCTCAGTAGAATGGCGTCTGTTAATTTGTCTCCTGAGCTCAAGTACTGGCTATTTAACATGCTTTTTATTCTGTATGTGCTTCAAGTCATGGTCCCTCTGGGGTCTTGTGAACTCGTTCCAGCGAAGTTCGACCCTGTGACCAAAAAAGTGTATTACAATCCTCAAGCACAGTCACAAGAGAGCGGTGCCGGCACTAACCAAGGCTTAGTGATGACTGTGGAACAAGACGTCAAGGTGGAGGCTACGAGCCGAGTGAGCAAATCGAAGAACTTTGGAGTTAACTTGGGGTTAGGAGACGCCCCTTTGATAGGACTGAATTATCAAAAGGCTAAAATCAGGGAAACCAGACAGGAAAGCCATCATCAAGTGAACATAGCAATTAAAATCCCAGGAGAATGTGGCGAGGGCTGCAGGCAACAGGCAAACAAAGCTTTCGATATTGCAAACAATGCACTTTATGGTGGATCAAAACAGAAGCAAGTCAACTGACCACAGCCAGAGGCATGCAACGAAGATCCAGGGACCATGCATGTTTAATAATAAAGACTTAGAAAAGAAAGCAGTTCTTGCATTAGACTTAGCATTAGCCTGTGAGCAATCACTGGACACTCGCACGAGCAAGTCACGGAACATTTAAGCCTCGGGCGTGAACCTACTTTGCTTGCGATTCTCGGAGAGCTTGCTCGAATCGAAATAGTTTGCATAATTTAGCAGTTTACTTGGTTGTTGTGGGTAAATAAATGCTTCTGCTCGATTTTATACCTCTGGACAACTACATATCATATATCATAAAATGATGACAAATTGATATATGACTTGAGAAACCGGGATGAATAAAGTTATTGTTGTTGTTGTTGTTTGTTCAGTCCTCCCGTTTTACACGCGGGGGGGGGGGGGGGGGGGGGGGGGTAAACGGCCTGGGTAATACGGCTTGGTAACCGCTAGTTTAGCACCAGAGTGTTTTTCCAACCTCGTCCCCAGGGTCTTCTCGCTTTCCAATATGGCGGCGGCAGGAGAGAAGACCCTGGCACACAGCGAACTAAAACGATTGCTGATTGGTGCATTCCATTGCGCGTTCATACGTGCGCTCTCATTGGTTTATTCCTTCCAAAACAAAGATGGTTACCCTTTGAGGGCTTCGTAGAGGCTGAGAAGTGCTTTCTTCAGTGTTTGAGACCTAAAGGCAAAGATTCGAATATAGTGATATCTGAAATGGTAATCGCTAGGAATATTATAACGCGTAGAGGTATTTCTGTTACTCGTGCTATTTGGTTTGTGTGTTCTAAATTACTAAAGATTTGTTTATTTAATTCCCGATTTGTCAAAGAAAACTTGCAAGGCTTCAGCTTATCAATAAATTTAGCTTTCCTTTTTTAAAGGTTTATTATTGTTCTGCCTTTTGTTTTCTTTGAACAGAAGCTGTATGCATAATGTTATTAATTATATATAATGTATGGGGTTATACGGAAATCTTGCATAATCTGCGCTTTGTCTCAGCAGTTTTTGTCTAGTGAAACATTTTTTCATTTGATCGTAACATGCATGGGCTGACCTGGCCTTGATTTAATTTTTTCCACTGTGATTTTGAGGGGGGATGAGGAGCGAGAGAGGCAGATGTCGAAACAAAACTAAAAATTAAAGCCAAACATAGTGTCGCTATCCTGTGATATTTTTAATCCTGACATTTCATGTATTCAGTTTTTAGTGTCACAATAATGATAATTTATTATTATTTGCTCATTTCATTGGCAGTAAAATACAGCTAAATACAGAGACATTGGGAAAATAAACTGTTTCCTTTTCTCAGAAACTTGCATATTAATGTATTGAAGCTTGTGGGATTTCTTTCTAGTTGCAAAAATTAAATAATGAAAGCACATGATGTCTTTTATTTTATCAAGTTGAAAACGGAGATCAGCCCATGCAAGGAAATCTGACAGTCTTGGATTCTCAATTCTGTGCCATAGATACTGCATTCTGGATTCTTTGTCAGTGGAACTTGGATTCCGGATTCCAATTATAAGTGGGATCCAGAATACTTGACCTTTATTCCAGATTCCAAGAGAAAAATTTCCCAGATTCCGGATTCCCTTACATGGGGTGACAGTGACCCTACGATAAATATGTTTTCTGTCAAACTAAAACCTGTCAATTGAGCTTCTAATTACTGTAGGCTAAGTGTGCACGTTGTTCTTGTCACTATATGCTTGAAAAGGGGTTTGTGGACCAGGTGAAATAGTGGCTGGTACTGTAGTATTCCAAAACCAGCTGGGTATGATTATGAAGCAGCTATAATTCAGTTCTAAAACTTAAATTTATAAAAAAAAACTGCTTCAAAGCGTGCATATATCACTATCCGCTGAATAAACAAGAGCAGAAGGGGCCTGCAGTGTCTTGATCCCGGGATTTTTCATGTAGGGATGCCAAGGCTTTCGAAGTGTTTTGCACCAGAGTCCCCATTAGGATAGTGAGCTTTTAGTTGCCTAATCACGGCCAATGAGTTTCAGGTCACGTGGTCCCAAGCGAAACTGTGAAACAATTTCCCTCCAGTTTGCCTAAGATAAGTCACCGAAATGAATTGACCAAGAAGGCCTGGGAAAATGCCACACAGGGACAAGGCAAGGCTTTTAGCTTGTTTAGGTGTTGGGCTGTGAGGCTGCAGCTCTTAGATGTGCCGGCTTAAATACTTCCAAAGTTTGGTTAGTCTTAGTCATAGTGTCTGTATCATAATCATATCATCAGAAATAACCCAAATATTAAACTGATAATAGATTATAGCAGAAACTCATAAGGGGTTTCTGATTATAGTAGATTATAGTTTTGTGCCCCCTGTGCACCACTTTCAACACTGAAAATAATTTTCTTAGTGAACAAAACAAAAATCCGACCCTGCAAGCAGAGGCTTATCTGTCACATAGTTAAATCAACTAAACATCATGTATAAACTACATAATTAAGAGCCCATCAAAAAGACAACACAGGTGTATTAATGTCCTTATTTGTCAACAATGTTTTTGTGAATTTTCCACAACAATCAATTGAACATTTGTATAAGCAATACTCACTTTGCTTTAGGTTTCTGATCAATGATAGATTCTGATCGATTATCAGCACACCACTACCAAGTCATGTCTCAATTAGAGTACGAAAGGGCCCATCTGACGAGGAAAACATGTTTGACTTAAAAGATCTATTATCTCCAAATGAGATAGGAACTTTTCCAGTGCACATGACTCAGATAGGACTATCAAATTTTCGAACAACTGGAGTCTAGCCTTTAGTCAATTTGCACATTGACATGGCAAAGTGCAGCCCCAAGTAATATGTAAAATAAACCAAAGTCAGGGATTAACAAAGTCTTTGCTCCAAACATCAAATCTATTTCAAAGTGGAGAGTACATTTTGGATTGCTATATTACAAACAATGGAAACACTCTTCACCTTTTGGTAGCTATTAAAGCGGGGTTAATGAAATTTATTTTTACATCTGAGACGCAAAAAAACCAATAATAACAACATCTTAAATCCTCTATTAAGGCCCCCTCTCTCAAATAAGCCCTCCTTTTCAGTGGAAGAAAGTTTTAACAATAAGCCCCCGTCTATTTTAACCCCCATCCCACCTCCCCCCTTTTCGTACTCTTCACTAATAAATAAAAGACTGTATCAATCAATGACAACTGTAAAACTTTGCGTGGACTGATCCAAGATGGTTTATTCACCAACTGGAAGTTTGGATTTGTTTTTCATCCTCGGCTGCTTGACCTCCAACCTTCTTGTACTTGGGCTTTTTCACTTGGCCTTTTTTTTTTGTGGGGAACTAATACCAGCGTCTTTGCTAGATTAAATAAGGCCCCTATCTCTCTTGTCCGGAAGCATTGTGAACAGGGTTAGATATCAAAAGCCAATAAGAAAGTCTAAAAACTGTGAAGTAGATGAAGATTGACAATAATTTTATTACCTGTACCAGATCAAGTGACAAATATCCAAACTGAACAAGGAACTGTTTAATTTTCAACCAAAGTTTCCTCACATATTATATTAACAAAATAGTGTTCTCTGGTTCTTGTTTTCAGAAAAAAAAATGTTTTTTTACATATCAGAGTTCAGTTAAAATGTGTGCAGAAAGAAAAACAATAGTCAAAAACCTCATGAAGATCTGTAAAAAACTGACGATAACTTATCCAGCTTAAAGTGTGTGCGACTCAATTTAATGCTTAGTTGAATTTCGTTGAATTTCGGAACGGAAGAGGTTTTAGAGCGTCATGACAAAAAACTCCCTGGCTTCAGAGGTCTGTTCTCGAAATTCCTAAGATGAAATAAATTGCGCTCACGGTTAGAAAAAGCTCCCCCTTTCACGAAAGAAGAAAACTGAACCTCTGGCACTCCAGGTAGGCAAAAAAAGAAAACAGTGAAAAAAGGTCGGTATCGAGAAATTGGTTAAGTGCCGTGTACGCTAGAACGTTCAGGCTTAAAACAAATGAAGGTCATTGAACATAAAATAAGATCGCTATATCATTCTACCGTATTCCTGTGGCTTGTAAGTGCATTCTTTCATATTTTTAGCTTCTTTTGAGTTTGCCTTTGCCGCCATTTTGTTTGTTTTTCACCAGTCTCAAGACGTCGTACCCAGATCCTCTCACTCTTTATCTTGGCCGCCATTTTGAATAAATTTCCACTCTCCGTGGACAAATCAGTCACGTGATTTCTGCTGTGTGCCAGGGTCTTCTCTCCTGACGCCGCCATATTGGAAAGCGAGAAGACCCTGGGGACGAGGTTGAGTGTTTTTCTGCTCTCTTGACTCTCTTCTTCGCTTCTCTTCAAAAGTGGAAATAACTTTGATAAACAAAACAGAAAAAAACAGGTTAGTTCGTCGCAGCATTCTAATATTCTTAAGTTGATCATTCAGGGTAGGTGTGCACTCGCAATTTGACTCGCCAAATTTGGAGCTGCGGAACATTTCTGACATTTGTGCTGTAATCGTGATGTTTTGTACGTGTGTGTTTCTAACATCGATTGTGTAAGTTCTTTCTGCGTCTTTGTTTCATAGTCATCACCGTTAGAGCGAAATCCACGTTCTAGAATCCTTTTTCAGGCTAGTAATATCGCTGGGTTTTTTTTCCAAGTTTTCTAAGTCACGCAGTTAAAGGTAATTTCCCACTTGCTGTAATAATAATACTGCTGGTTATAAAAGCGGAACAGATTGAAATCCCGAAAGGATGCTAAAAGAGACAAAACAATGCAGAAATGCAGAAAGGGTGGGTAAAGAAAATTAACACAGATTTTGAAGAATGTTTCTCAGTTTTTCTTTTTGATTTGTAATGCTGGGAAATTATGCAACTACAAATTGACATGGAGCAGTTAGTGAAAATTCATTGAAAAGTCTGGGAAAAACACCTGAAAAGTTTAGTTAACTTGCCTAATTGACATGTCCTTTGCCATGCAAAAGCAGGGCTGTCAACCCCCCACATCTTCAAATATTGAGAATTGACAGGGAAGGGATACCAGATGACGTCATAATGTACGAAATATGACGTCATTTGTGCAAAAAACATGCGAAAAAGATGTTGTTGGAATTGTAACATTTGTACCTGACTGGTTTACTTTCCACCAATCGCGATATTGCTTATATTACAATGGCATACCGGGGTTTCTGAGAAAACGTTTGATACTAAAAGTTAAATAGCTCAAACAACGCAAAATATTTGAAATTTCATTGACAGAAATTTGAGGCCCTGCCAGGGGGGGTCCCATGTCGCCCGTCTGAATTTTAAAACGTCTCATGTCGGTGTTTATAAATACTTGTCACTTATTGTCGGCTTTGCCGTCACTGTCACAGTTTGGCTGAGGGAGGCTGTCTCTTGTTGCGATTTCATTTTACGCGCTGTCACTACTTTTTTGGGCCATGCCGCTTGTCGGAATTTACCCTGGCAGGGCCTCAAAGTCAAATGTACAAAATATTGCAAAATTTGGCAATTATCCGGGAGATTTCAGACTCTAATCTGGAGACCGGGAGAAACGGTTCAAAATCGGGAGTCTCCTGGATTATCCGGGCGAAATGACAGCACTGCAAAAGTCGGTAAAATTTGGTGATTCTGCTGAGCCATATTAAATTTTATTCTTAGTTTCAAACAGATCAATCTCAATCTTAGAAACTTAAGCAATTTTAAGGCATTCTTTGCAGCAATGTTGACAGATTTTCTCCTAAGTAAACTGCTCCTTGTCAGAAGCTGAAAAACTATGGGAGGGTCTAATCTTTGTTGTGAAGCAGTGATTTGGTCAGTAAATAAAAAGTTGATATAGTTTGGCATGTATTTAATGGCAAAAGTAAAAATTAATGAATAATTTATTATTAATTAATAGATAAAACCACTTTAAATGCAACCAGATCCCTCAAGTCAAGTAGCTCTGTATACTTTGCAATAATTAAATTTTCCTATCCTAATGCTATATGTGAGTATTGATGAATTAGTGGGGTTCTATTGTATATTTCTTGTTCTTTTATATAGATTACATAAAGGAAAGCTGTGAGGATAGCTACCAGTTAACTGGACACTGAAGTGTGAAGAAAAGGTAACAAAAGAAATATGGTTAATAAGTCGAGGAAGTGGCTGGAGAAGTATTACTCACCTAGCCGGTGGAATAAGCGCATGGGAGCAGATAAAGTGGTTCAGCATCATGTGAAAGTTTGCAGTGAATGCAGTGAAGAAACAAAACAAAGTTTGAATGTTGAACTGAGCGTGCTGTATGGGGAAGGCAAAGCCAAGATGGATGTATTTTATACCTCACTAAATGACCATGACAATGCTCCAGTCATTGTTTTTATTCATGGTGGTTACTGGCAGCAAGGTAGTAAAGATATGTACAGTTTCGTTGGTAATTCCTGGACAAAAGCTGGATGTATTGCAGTGGTTTTGGGTTATAATCTTGCACCAGAGGCCAGTGTGGAACAGATCATCACTGAAATCCAAGCTGCACTAGAGTATATTGTTGGCAAGTTTCCTAAATCAAAACTGTTTTTATGTGGACATTCTGCTGGTGCACACTTGTCTGCCATGATGGCACTTGCAAATTGGGACAAGGATGGGTTAGTTTCACAAGCTGTTCATGGCATGTTTTTGCTGTCTGGGATTTTTGACTTGGTTCCCTTGGTTAACACTAGTGATAATGATGCATTAAAATTGGACGCAGACTCCGCTGCAAAAATTAGTCCCCAAACAATTCTTCAGAAAGCATCTCCCACAATCCGCTGTCCTACACTGGTTGTAGTTGAAGAGCATGGATCTCCAGAGTTCATTCGACAGTCAAAAGAATTTCATGAGATCTTAAAGTCACATGGTGTACAAAGTTCCTTTTTACAGCTTTCTGGAGTCGATCATTTTAATTTAATTGAAAACATGGCTGATCCTGAAGATCAACTTTGCAAAGAAATTTTAAAAGTTGTCCTCAAACAATCTTAACATCTTTTGACAAACTATGTTGTTTTTTCAGTTTTATTTATCTAAAAATGCTCTTCCACTAGGTAGTAGGCCGTTTAAATAACAAATTTTTTAAGAGAAAACTGCTCTAAAGCTGAAAATATATTTATATACTGAAAGAAACCAGAGTGATTTTACTTAACCCTTGAAATAGGGAGTAGAATACTATCTCAACTCCCTTTAGTCAGTCCCCACGAAGTCAGAGCATACTTGAAAGAGTTGAGATGAAAAGGTAAATGTTTTTTATAGATGTCATGGAAAGAGACAATAGTAAGAATACTAAAAGATTGTCAGGCAATAGTGAAAATTTGAAACATGAGAAAAAGAGTTTCTGACTTTTTCCGCTAAATTAAATTTGATGTGTTAGAATTACAGACGAAGGACTTCTAGCTTTTCTCTGCGTGGCAGGTATTTGAGAGGAATGGAAAGGGGAAGTTAAGGCGAGAATGTGATGGGCATGGATATGCCAGTACTCGTGCTCCTTGCTTAATCTCCCCCTTTTCTTTCTCTTTAAACTCCTGTCTTGCAGGTTATCATCAGTGACCCATTAAATCAGTGCTGAAGTTCACAAAATAAACGAAGCTAAAAGGTTGTCATTAAAAAAATCTGCTGCCTCACCTCGCCGAAGCAGACACCCTCATTACCAGGCACGGTCATTAAACTGTGTGATTCACTAATTATTATAATAATATTATTATAATATTCATTTTTGTGCAAATATAAGGACTTTTTTGGAATTAATGGATTTTAGTATTGATGTGTTTCAATATCCACCTAAGGGAGGTTATTTTATCTTCTATAGACCCTGTCCTGAGAGGCTTATGCGTTCAATAGGTCTAAAAATAACTTTTGTGAAATTTGCATATACCAAGGGCTAGACTGGGCATAGACCTATTCGGCTAACTCAATGTTGTACCCAATTCAAATCTCCCGGGGTAAGATTCTTTGTGTATTGTATTTGCATTATAATGTGGCATTCACATTTAAATGATATGGAAATTCCTGAAACAAAACGTTTTATTGCCAAAGGGTTTGAATTGGGTACAACATTGAATTAGCCGAATAGGTCTATTTACTTCCCTCTCTCATCATTTTCTCTCGCTGGAAATCATAGTAGCAAACGAAAATGTAGGGAGAACATTGTGAGGAATGTGAGGATTGTTAAGGAATGTTCTTAATGTTTGTGTTTTCGTAATGATCAAGCCCACAGAGTGGGGTAATTCAATATTTGTTTGCCTCTCTATGGGTATACCTACGGACATCATTTTCCTGCTGCATTTTCAAGGGGGGGGAGGGGGTTGGGGGTAATCAATAAAGTTTTATATGGGGAGCTCCTCCCGAGGTCCAAACCCTTAACCTTTTATATACCATTTTTGAGAGAAAAGGTACCCCTTTCATATACCTCCATTGACAAATGGTACCCCTTTCACTTGGCCAGTTAAGAACTTTCCATCCCTTTTAGCTTCTTTCAGTACTTATTTATTGTTTCATTTTTATATTCCCATTTTCCTTTTTTCTGACTGTTTTTTTTTTTTAATCGCATTGCCTTGGGCCAGTGTGCCATCTTCATATCTTTTATGGAGATACTCCATTTAAAAGGGGTTACTTTTTCCAGGCCAGAGGCATATAAAGGGGGGGGCTCATCATTTATGGAAAGGGGAGCTATTATGGAGTTTTTTATTAAGGGCGGGCGGCATGTGTTTTTCCTGTTAGTTTTTTAAGGGGAGCTATCACAAATATCTATTTCTGCAAATGTAACGGAAGGTATAAGGGGGGGCCATCGCAAAAGTTTCAATAAAAACCGTCACTATGTCTATTCAAACAAAATTTGGTTGAAAAGTTGTTTCTCTGGTTTAGGCAGAAAGGCCTAGGAAATCTCTGGATCAATGTATTCGTATTCCTCGACGGTCCTGGGACGAGTAGTCCTTGAGCGAACATGAATGTGAGGGTAGGTAATGAGGGGAACTTCTCACCAAGAGGATGAACAAACATGAGAAAACTGCGGCTGAGTTACGTTGCCAGAAATTAACGAAAATTTTTAACGTTGTAAAGTTCCGGAGGGCTTTCACCCCTTAAGAGATCATTATTTCAAACCACAAAAGGAAGATCTCCTCGTCATTACTGAGAAAAAAGCAAGCCTAGCCAGATATTGAAGGAAAGAGTTTATAATTTGATAAAAATGCGAAGATGGTGTCAAAATCCCCGAAGCCATTTTAATATCATTAATTTTCAGTGTCCTTAAAACTTGTTGAAGGATACCTTTAATAGAAATGGACGTGCTTATCTAAAGCCTGCGATCAAAGTTAACACACCTTCCTTGCAGTTGACGTTTTCTAACGGAGCGGATACAAAATCTTGTGTATTTGAAATATTAAACCAAACAAGTACGTTCAGTGGATAATTAAGTTGCACAAGCTGTAATGGTAAATCAGGTCCAAGCATGGGTTATGATGCTGATCGTACCAAAAGGCGAGGCCGCTTCTACTTACCAACAACTTCGGATTCCCCTTTTTGTGATATGTAGTTACACTATTAATAATGACCCATTCAAGTAGGCTGGTCGTTGGAAGGATATGCTAATGTCGTACGTTTATGCATGTTTTCCCTTCTAGTTTATTGCACCCAAGAAAAGAAAAAAAATCAAAAAAAGTGCGATTATATGGTATGCAGCTAATTGCAACTTTTCAAACGAGCCGTATCCAATGAGGTTGCGTTCATCTCCAGTAGCAATTGGATGCTATTCATGCTATTCAAATAGTATGAATTAGTTATAAAAAATTGGAAAATACTGTGCAACGAAAAAGTTCGATTATTTTTACAAAGTTTATCAAACTGTGTTGAAAGGGCACGAAAAAACCAGACGTTTCGAGGGTTTAAGTTCTCCCTCTTCCTCAGTGGTTTAAAGCAACTGAAAAAAGCACGAGCAAGGTACACTCTTCATTTTATTAGAAACTTTTATGTGAACCTTCAGCCTGAAATTTGCCAAAATTTTTAAGAACATGCTAAGAACATACCCAAGGCTCAGAGAAGAACAATTTATTTTTTACTGCTTTTGCTTTCCTAAATGCAGAAAATCTGAATTACATAATGTCCTACATGGAATCATAGTGCACGTAAACTTTTTTTCTTTCAACACATTCCTATTGTACATGGTCAATGATATATTTACATTGTACTCGTACAAAAGACAACTATAATCATTGGCTTATCTTGTCTATATGTAGCTTAAAAGTTATCAGATTACCGTTTTGACATTTAAGAACATCTGTAAGAACATTTCCAGGCTGAAATCGCCCAGAAAATAAGACCTGTCCAGGCTCAACTCGGAAGTGAACGTTCTTACAAAAAAACAGAGAGTAACGTTTGAATAAAAATCAAATCAAAGACTAACGTTACATGCGTGCGCTGACTTTGAGAAGTTCAAATGAAGTTGAAGCCCGCGGGGGGGGGGGCTACTGCCATGTATGGGCTATATAGGTATGTGCCGCTGTGAAGGGTATGGTTTTCAAGCAGTTTACTCTGGGATAGGGTATATAAATCAGGGCGTTTGGGTCTAGAATAGGGTATCATTTTTCAGGAAACTGATCAGTCGGTTGAAGATTTCTCTAGACTAGGGATTGTGGTATAAGGTTTTGATTTGGCTAGACTGTGCTAGTGACCTCAGTAGTTTCTGGAAAACAGCTACTCTAGGAAAGGGGGGATTTGGGGAGTTTACCCTAGTATAGGGTAGCAAAATTCAGCTGAACTAGCTCTGGTATAGGTTAAGGGTTCCAGGGTCCCAGCAGCACATCCCCACCCAGAAATTCCTAAAGTACCCCCCGGGAGTTGAAGTCCGCATTCAGTCCGGCTGGTGTGTCCGGTGTTTGAGTATCATTCTGGCGTCAAAACTGCCACCATGCGGTACTGACATACTATGGATCTAGTGCATTAGAGATGGATACTTTTGCTTGAGCACTATATCTTGAAAAGAGCTCGATGGTATAATTGCCCATTTTTAACGGATTTTTACCGTGAAAAGGTCACCTAGAATTTTCGGGAGCCTTTTTTCTGGCTGAAATTTTCGAAAAGGTAAGTTTTAATCCCTATAATTTTCGGATCACTAGACTTTCAGCTAGGAAATCCGAACAGATGAAAAATTTTTAGGTGATAAAAACATGCCTATATCTACCGTTTAAATACTAAAATAAGTTCAACAATGCTATGTTTAAGTGGTTTTGAACTATATTCTCGTTGGGTGCCCCTGAATATAAGAAATCGCGGTCGAGTTTGTTTATTCTTGACAACGGAAAATGAACAACTTTTTATATTAAAGACGGTAATGGCAAATTATGGGTGTCAATGATCATTTTTACTTTTTGGATGCAGTAGTGACCGTAGATGTCCTCACGGCAAGCAATAATGACGTTAATTTTGTCGAAACTCAAACCGTACATTTTCCATGACCATTAAATCGTCGTTTTGTTTTGAGAGAATAAACAAAGTCGACCGCGATTTCTTTACCTTTTGATCGCCCCCTGAAATACCACGCGACATTGCATTGTTTGTTATTTAGTTTGATATGTTTACTTCATGTTGATGTATTTTGCTTTGTTAATAAACCTTTTCATTTGCATCCCGAGGTTAAGCCTTGATTGTTTTCACGTTGGTCTTAATTTTTGGGCAACTTTGAGCCTCGTTTTTCTATTATAAAAAATTTACCGCTAAAAGGTGTGCTCTGACTGTGTGACAACTTGCTCCTAAATTATTTACACATATGAAAGCATTTTCTTCGAACACCTTTTACCTTTATTGAAACCTGGTAGCTATGTGATGCTGGAATATCCGAGGCCGGGAACGAAGACAATTCTTGCTTATCTTTTTTTTTGATTTTTGCGACGTCCTTGCCATCTGAGACAGACTACAAGGGCACCGAAAGCGCGAACTCTAGCTGAGAAATATTTTTAACCTGTCACTTCTGGTGCCGTTTCCTCCATTGTCAAAGA